AAAAATGTTGATGACATGACAGTTCCTTCCTTCCTTGCCAATTGGATGGGATTTGCTGAGAATTCTGCATTATTGCTGGAGTGCCATAATGCACAATCATCAGCGTACAGTGAGTATTTAAGATTCCGAGGAGGAGCTGGTAAAATGTCATTGATCATACATAGAAATAATGTTGGTGACAATACATTTCCTTGTGGGACCCCGTTTGCCTGGACAAAAATGTCCGTAAAAGTGACGTTGTCAGAAAATAATTCGACAGAGAAAGTTCTGTCAGAAATGAAATTTTGAATAAAACAAGGCAAGTTTCCCCATTATCCAAAAGCATAAAGTTTTCTGAGTAGGCCATTTCGCCATGGCATGTCGTAGGCTTTTTCTATCTCTATAAATACTGAAATAAAAAATCTTTTTTTGGCAATGGCCTCTTGAATATGACTGTTCAGCCTTACTAGTTGGAGTGGGCTCAAGTAGTAATTAGTAGAATTTAAAAAATGCAATAGCCTACTGTTAACAATTCTTTCCATGACCTTGCATAAGCAACTTTTCAACGCAATTGGGCGGTAGATGGCAAATCTGGGATTACCCACTCCTGTTAATATGGGAATGATATGCAGGGCCGGATCCAGGGGGGAGGGGGCGCACGCCCCCCCTATTTTTGGCAGAGTATTGATTTTTTTAGACCAGGAATTTTTTACACATCATCAGGGAAAGACGTGGGATATAGGTAGGAAAAGTCCCAGTCAGCAATAGAAGGGATAACTGAAACTTTCTATCCCTCTTAGGCTTCGTGCCTTCGGCACTCGCAATCGTCTCGGCTAGGGGTAACGCCCCCCCTTTCTAACAATCCTGGATCCGGCCCTGATATGGGCGAAGTGCCATGAGTTTGGGAAAGTGTGGCTTTTCCAATTTTATTGTACACTTCTAGCAAATTAATCATGTCATCATGATTAAGATGTTTTATCATCTCATATCGAATCTCATCGGGGCCTGGGGATGTTCCTCTACAGGCTACTAGGGCTCGGACAAGCTCTTCTATTGTTAGATCTTTATTGTAATCAAGGTCATCTCCTGTGGAAAAGTGAATAGGTTGCAGCTCAGCCGCTTCCTTGATGTGCAGGAATGCGGGATGATAGTTTGCTGAGCTGCTTGTATGAGAGAACTGCCTGGCGAGTGAATTAGCAATGTCTCTAGGTAAATCTATGTTATTGCCCTCGTCAATGATGTTTTTAATTTTGAATGATGTTTTTTTCATATTAATTTTATTAACAGTGGATCAAACCTCTGATGTTTTTGTGTTGTTTGTATTACTCTACAAGCCCTAGCTCTTGCTTGTTTGTAATTGCAAAAGTTCTCATTTGTGATGTTATTTTTGAAAAGCCTGTAGGCATTATTGTGTCGGCACAGCGCCCTGCGGCAATCTGGTGTCCACCATGGAACTCTATGCTTAACGCTATCTGTCGAAGTTTTAAGAATGGATAGCAAAGCTGCTTCTATAATCGAATTCTGAATACTGTCGAATTCTGTCTACTTTATCATCAATGGTTTCTCCGAGCTTAACGCTCCTTGTGAAGGTGACCCAATCTGCTCTTTTTACGTTAAATTTAGGCGCTGAAGGCGTTCTCACTGTGTCGCATGAATATTCAACCAAAATAGGAAGATGATCGCTTCCCAACGAGTCGTCAATGGTGTGACACAGGCACTTGGCTGCTACTGATGAAGAGACCAATGATAAGTCAATAAAGCTCAAATTACCGGTGTTATCGTCCACCCGCGTTGGACTACCATCGTTCAGAAGGTCTAGATCAGACTAATTAATCAACTTAACTACTTGCTCACCCGCAGGGAATCCCATAACGTATGATGAGCGTTAAAATCACCTAAAATTACTTTATTTTGTGGCAGACGTTCCTGAAGAACAAAAAGCTCATCATAGATAATCTCTGTATCAGATGGACAATAAACTGAACATATAGCCAGATAAGTGCCATTAATTTTTACTTTGCATGCGACAAACTCCAAAGTAGAATCAAAAGTCACTTTTGTAAAATGGAAGGTTTTGGTGGATGTACCTGGCGACTCCGCCTCCACCCCTACCCTCACGATCCTTCCGACACAGATCGACCAATTTAGTCAGTTGATAAACTTTAATATTTAATTCTTTAACAGTTTGTTTGAGTTCAGCAATTTCCTTATCCTTAGCAGCAAGCTGTTGACTGACATCACTTGTACTAGGGGTGTTGTTAGTTACTACTGCAGTATAGGAAGTATCAGGTTTGTGTGTCAAACTTTCAACTCTCCTCTTAGCTTCAGTATAGCTAACTTCATTGTTTCTCATATATGCTAATGTCTTAGTCTCCTTCTTCAGGATGCTGCACTCGGCAGATCCTGACTTATGGGGACCTCCACAGTTAGCACATTTGGAAATCTGGCTAGTACATGAGATGATGTCATGGGCTTAAACACATTTACGGCAAGTAAATTTAGTAGTGTCTTTATCAATACATCTTAATGAGGTGTGTCCGATTTTTTGGCATCTATTACAGTGCATTGGCTTTTGGACATAAGGTCTTACTTGAACACGCTCATAACCGACATTGACATATTCAGGGATTTTATTCAAGGCAAAGGTAAAAAAAAACCAGTCCAGTTTTCGTTCGTACATTCCCGTCCTTCTTGGTCATACAATGAATGTCCACTACGTCTTGGTACTTCATGCTCTCAAGAATTTCACTTTCTTCCATCGTCCTCAAATCCCTGTGAAAGATTACTCCCTTACAGGTATTTGAGCCAATAGGAATAGTTACTTTAACTCGAAGATCATGAATTTGCGTCAGCTTAAGTAAATCCTTAATCTGAGAGTTGAATTGTAATTTTACAAGGAGGCTTCCATCTCGCAATTTTTTGACAAAATCAAAATCGCCGTCCACTTGACCGTCAAGGACCTTTTTGATGATAAAGGAGTTCACGTTCAAAAGCGATTGATTTTCATTCACGCATTTTACATTCGCGCATTTTACATTCTGGGTGGAGATTTCGTTTTGTCATTAGTAGGGATTGCATTGCTCGTAGTCATATTGGTCTGAGAGTGGTCATGAGTCGCCCCTCCTCCTGGGTATCGGACCAGGTCCGACCCCTTGTCTCACAAATGTTGTCTTGAAGGGATCAAAAACTCTTAACTTTTGGTATCAACCTAACAGCAATAGCTAAGAGAGTAAGGCAGTTTAACGTCCTCTACCCCCTCAGTGGAAGCCTGGCTGCGTTCTCCAGTACCACAGAGGGATCGAGTTATGTGTGGGACACCTCCTTACCGCCGAACTTGCCTAGGCGAAGGACAGTAATTCAATGCCCACCTCCAAGCGAATACGGGAGTTCACGAGGAACTCCGGTAGGCTCAGGAAAGTCACATTATGAGGAAAAGAGTTTAGAAAATAAGAAAAAGTGCGCCCAAGTGACGCCCCAGACTACTGGGCCTCCCTACCCAGGGGTCAAAGCCACAGGGGCTACCCTGATGTAGAAGAGGGCTGCGGGTCTGAGGTGGGGTGCTGACTAGGCCTACTGCCTCGTGCCACCTGCAAAAGCAAGAGCACTGAAGGTGTTGGCAAAGCGCAAGGATATGTAACTTACAGGGTTTACTTTATTTCAATTACTTTAGAAACTCAGAAGCAATAATATCTGGCGAGACGAGAGGCCCCGGGCTCCACGGTAGCTCAAATAGCACAAGATTTCTTATTTATTGCTGCTGCGTTCGAAAAGGTGTTGCCTCATCAAGAGTTCATACACGAGTGTCGCGTGAAAAAGAAAGAAAGAAGAAGAAAAAAGCAAGCATGATAACAAAATGAAGGGATTTCAGGGTAAACAAGGTAAAGGTCGCATTCCTGTCAAGAGAGGGCAGTGTCTTCCTCTCTTTAAAAAATCCTTATTCCCTTTAAAAGAAGGCTTAGTTTGAAAAAGAAACTTATAAAAACTGAATGAGAATTGTTAAAATCATACTAGAAAAAGTAAAAACTGATTAGTATATAATCCCCACAAGGTAAAATGTGCTCTCCTATTCGGATTGGTAAAGAAAAACGAGAATAAAACTTATTTATTAATTATATATTATAATTATAATTAATACTATATGAAAATAGTAAACCCAATTAAAACCGCATCTTGTCCCCTTCTCAGCTTCCGGGAAACCATCATCCACTGGCATGGACGGCCTCGTATTTGTCTGAGGAGAGGAAACTTGTGAATTCTCCCCAGGGTCCTCCATCCCTTGGCTGGAGATTCACTACAGTATCAGTCCACTCAATTTGCTACAAGTAATCTAAGTGTGTGAAATGGCGCTTACAGTGTGATTGTGTACAGGTAAATAGATAGATTGACACATATAGAAATGGGTAAGTACAGAGCTGCGTGTATGCATGCTTAAACACATATAAAGATTCATATGTATGCAAAGTGACATGTGCATATACATATACAGAGACACATATGTATGCATACTGAGGAGTGCATATGTATGCATATTGATTTCGGTTTAACGTCACGTTACTCCCTTTTTGATCAAGGGCTAGGAATTGGCAGGCAGGAATTGGCAGGTGGAGACCGTTAACCCGAGTGGATGCCCTTCCTAACCTCGGACCGGGAATCGAACCCGTGCGCTTGCTGACCCTCCTGCCCACAGCCGCGCGCATTACCACTGTACCATGTATTAATATATGAAGGTAAATATATATATAGACTGTCATATGTGTATATGCTTTACATGTTTGCGTGCGTGCGTGCGTGCGTGTGTGTGTGTGTGTGTGTGTGTGTGTGTGTGTGTGTGTGTGTGTGTGTGTGTGTGTGTGTGTGTGTGTGTGTGTGTGTGTGTGTGTGTGTGTGTGTGTGTACAAATAGAGATAGAGATAATCGTTTGGTAGCTGCATTATCAAGGAGCTATCATAATCTTGTGCGCCATCGTGTAGCGGGCTTTGCTACGCATAGCGATGGCGTTTCGCTCGTCAGCCGAAGAAGCAGCAACATTGTCGTTTTTGGGGGAGTCGGAGCCCAACCGACCACCCCGATATGGCCTTGGGACGGTTCACTCAATTTGTAATGAAGAAATTAAGATTTTTCAGTTAGCCCCAGGACCTGTACCTTTCAAGCAAGGTATACTGGTTCGAGCCAGTGGTTATGTATGAGACACAGAGCGTCTGATAAGTTGTCATAGGAGCGGAGGGCGTGGGTTCACCTTCGTGGTTGTGTTGTTGGTCGAGGCAGGCCCAAAGAGGCATCTGCCCGGCTAATCTGTCTATAGAATCGTGCTAACAGTGTCTTGACATGCTTGTTGGAAGGCAGCTACTGGTTTAGATGCGTTTGGTTCCAGCACTAACAAAGTGATTAATATCTTGACAAATTTTTCTTCTATCTATTCGAAGGATGTACAAACTCCTAGTTAAGGTTCAGGATTCCACCACTATAGCACCTCAAAATCACTTTTTTCTTTTGCATATGACTAAGGTAGAGAGTGCTAACACTAAAGCTGTTGGTTAGTTAAAGTTTTATCAAATGGTACAATGTGAATAAGGATAATTCTTTACATAAGGTAGGTTTATAATAAATTAATTTGGTAGCTTTTGACTACTTAAAATGTGTACTGTCCAGGTTTGTTTTAATAAATGGAAACTAGTCATATATTTGATATTGAGTTTAATGTCACTGAGGCCAACTCACAGAGATCGAGGTAAATGGACACGAAGTGCAAAAAATTCATATCTGGAGGGTGCTCTTGGTAATGAATACTGATATTGTAAATAAACACCAGCTATATACAAATAACGACAGTAAATTTCACATATGTTCCACCTCATGTAACACTGCTAATTTCAGGGGTTTGTTGAAATTCTAAGAGATCTTCATCTAATGACTATCATGACTGTAAGCAAGTCATAAAGTAGTTGTCTGTACCTATACCTGCAGTGTTCTGGCAGAAGTGCAAAACATATACATCTTGGCAAGATATACGCAACCCATATTTGAGTAAAAATTTTGATAGTGGCGGTATGCAAATGATTAGTTACCACTAATGCCATTGCTATAGTAGGTTGCCATGGATAGCTTTAGCAAGATATTGTGCAGTAAATGCAGTTCACAGACAATTAACCCATTGGATTTGGGTGCTTCACTGCCCACACATAGCCCTAAATCCAGGTATTAGGCTTACTTGATTGGCAACTCTCATGGATGTTTGGCTTGAAGGCCAGGCACACAAACACTTGTGTGTAGGTCATTACTCATTACCTTCCCTTTTTATTATCTCACTACAAAGGCATTTTCTGCTTCTCTGCCATTTTCCGAGATCCATATTTGTCACTTGATATGCTGTATGAAGATGGTGCAAAGGCATTTTCTGCCTCTTTGCCATTTTCTGAGGTCCATATTTGTCACTTGATATGCTGTATAAAGATGGTGATTGAATGCTTCCCTTGCACAGACTCCATATCCTCTCTCCAGGTAGTCTATGGCTGTGCAATAACAAAAACAAGTAACATAGTTACTCAGTGTCACAAAATTTATTTAACAAATTTTTAGCACCCTACACTTTAACAAGACTGACATTGAGATGGCTGGGTGTGCCCCCTAACACCCACCCAACAGACATTACTGAAATTCTGAAGCACCGAGTGGACCAAGGCTGTGAGCATGGCTTCGCCTGACCTTTTTCCTTTATTTGTAGCAGTTCCATTCATGTCTATATCTTGTACCAGTGCTCCATCATGCTGTACATATATTGGGCATTCTTTCTTTTCCAGGGAGGCATCAGCCCCCTTGATTAACCCATTCCCGACGGGCATGCCTTGCCATTCCCACTGTGGGATTACTTGATTGATTGTTTTTACACATAGATGGCTATACTTATACTAAATGAGCCAGTTACGAGTACCGCCTGTCTTGCCCGTCCACCCTTTTCTTTGTTTTACGAAATATTTTACGTTATCTTATTTTGCTGTTACTGATGTTAAAAAACATTATAATAATTATAATGTTTATAACAAAAATAACACCATCGATATTCATAGCACTAGTGAAAAATACATTTTTCCCGCCATTTCAAATCAGGCACTAACAGAGCCATCTATGGGCAGACATTTCACAAAAAAATATAGAAAATACGCACAGCAT